AACCCCAAACTAACCCTTACCCTAACTTTAATTAAAAACAAAAAACACGTGACTGGACACGGCTTTAGACGTCCCCTATATATGTACATAATCACATGACTTTATTTTATTTATACATATCGATATTAATTAGGCTAGATCCTCTATTTTTTTAAAATTTTAGATAAAAAAAAACATCCCATTAACCAATCAAATTGCATTATTAATTTTGATAATTTCTATGCCTTCCCCCACTCTTATGATCTATTTTATGTTATGTTAAACGAAGAATTAATTTGAAGCGGCCTTAATGCTGCACACAGAGAACAATTTTACCGATACTTTTTCCTGATTTTAAATATGTTAATGCTTCTACAGCTTGATCGAATCTAAATTCGTATATATTTGACGGTGGTTCCAATTCTAAAGTCTGAAGTTGATTAAATAATTGATTCAACCGTTCTTCACGTTCAAATATATGGATCAAATTGAAACCGGCGAGCTATGTGTGATGTTATAATAACTAATTAATTCCAAGAAAAGTATAAAATTTATATCAAGAAATTAATAAAGACTTACAGATTTATTATCTTGAACAATTTTCATAGGATCAATTGTTGGCCTCCAAATGTATTTCCATCCCAATTTTATCCACTGAATTATATTCCATATAGGATGTAAATTTCCTGTTGGTGTAAAACTTGCTGATCCATAAAGAACTAATTTACCCTCTTTTTCCAATAAATTATAATTTGGCCAAAACCAATTCCCCATTACACTATCTAACACTATGTCAAATAAATCTTCTTGATCCATCTTTAACAAAGCTTGCTTTGCTCGACTTTCAAAATCTTTAGCCGGCTCCCGAAGAATAAACGTGAATTTTGGATTTTCTCCATATTTTTGATTTAAAAAATCTAGTTTTGATAATGTACCAACTGTACCCACAACTTTTGCCGATTTCTTGCTAAGAATGGAAAGGGCTGCTAAACCACATCCTCCTGCAGCTGAGTGAACTAAAACACTATTATTTGGTTTAAGTCGTCCAAGTTCTTCGAGTGCATAGTAAGCAGTTAACGTTTGGACCTGAATCACAATTAATAAATACATCATTACATCATTAACCATTTGATCCTTGGTACGTTAGGATTGCGCCTCAACTAATCAAATCAAACATTAGTTTGGGTAACATTAATTTCGGATTTATTAAATGGTTATTAATTTTAATAAAGCTTAAATTATCAATTATCAATTTTTTTCGAAGATTTATACTGTACGATTAAAAAAATAATTATTAAACTAAATTTCCATTTTTTAGCGCAAGTATCTAACAAAAGTGCATATAATTTTTTTTTAACTTGAAGCTCTCGAATAGCTCTACATGGTAATAGAGCTACTTTTTCGATAGTTTATTAAATTCATTCCACAATTATAAAAATATTAAATTATAATTATTTAATTAATTTTACAAAATTTTTTAAAAAAATTAGCTCTATTACCATGTAGAGCTAGTTGAGGGCTTCAAATTAAAAAAAAAAAAAAAAAAAAAAACAAAAAAAATCATATGTACTTTTGTTAGGTATTTGTGCTAAAAAATGTTAATTTAATTTAATATTTAAATATACGGCCTATAAAAAATCCGAAATTAATGATCTTCAACTAATATTTGGTTTAATTAGTTGAGGCGCAACTATAGATGCTGGTGAAACTGGTAAACTCTTGGTGAATAGTGGTGAAACTGGTGAAATTTAATATAACAGCCGATCAGATTCTAGATAGTCACCAGCTTCACTAGCATTATTTAGTTTCACCAACATCTATAGGCGCAACCCAAGGTTGGCACATTTATCTATTGGGCCCAATGGAGAAGACCTCCATTGACATTGATCTATTGCTTCATTGAGAATAATTTGTCAATGGAGCCAATGAAGTCAAACATAATAATTATAAATCGTAATATATTATACAGTATGATTATATATTCTAATTTATAAATTTACCCGTTAATAACCAAAATTTTTGTCTTGATGAGAGGATTCTAACAAACTCAAAATCGCCAAAATCTAATCACATGATCCAGAAATCGTATATATACTTGTTGGCAAATCCCAAACCCCAAAAATACAATATATAGCTATAAATATATATCTGATTTGTTTAAATAAAGAATATTAATAAAGTTTTTAAGATATTAGTTTGGCCAGAGTTTGGATTTGGGCGCGCCCAACATGTATAATCGTATGATTTTAATTCTTATTAAAATCGTACAAAAAATTTGAACGATCTCCTGATAATATGATTGGATTTTAGCGATTTTGATCCTCTTATCGAGACAAACATTTTGGTAGTTAAATCATTCAAAGCGGATTACGGGATCAAAAGTTATTAATATTTTTATAAATTATTGTATATAATATAAATATAGTTGGATAATTTAATGGAACCAATGGATACTATCCATTTACTCCATTGGCTCCATTGATAATTTTCTCAATGGACCTTATCCATTGCAACCCTGGCGCAACCCTATTGGTACGTACGTATAGTCAATATTTTTGGTATTAAACTTACCGGATAGGCACAAGCCTGCTGATCAGTCCAATCCTTCGGTGTTTCTTTAACGTAGACTATTGGCACATTAATATAAGTCGCGTAACTGCCAAACCTTGTAACTCCGTAAACGCGTTTCCCTAACCAGTTTTCAGAAATACCATCACCTACACTCTCAACTAACCCCGAATATTCG